ATGGCTTATCTATTTTATTATTGTTGTTTACCAAGAAAACAGGTCCTAGTTTATTAGTTCCACTTTTTTTCACTTTACATTTTATTGATCCCTCTTTTGATTTTCAGGATTTTTGTTTTGGTGTTTAATTAGGAATTTTTAATTTTTTGGTTTTCTAATTTGTTTTTAGTTGTATGCCCAGTTCATTGATCTGCTTTTTCTCTCTTGTTGATGTAAACATTTAAAGATACAAATATTCCCCTAAGTTCTGCTTTGGCTAAATCCCACAAATTTTGATATGTTATTTCATTGTTGTCATTATCTTTAATGAAATTATTCTTTCTATGATTTGTTCTTTGACCCACCCATTTTTTAGGAGTAAGTTTTCAGTTTAATTTTCATCTGTGCTTCAAAGGCCTTTTATTAAATGTAATTTTTATTGCATCGTGACCAGAAAAAGACACATTTATTATTTCTGTTTTTCTCTTTTTCTTTGTGATATTTATATTCCCTAATACAGAGTTATCAAATTCCTGGCCTGCAAAACTCCTGAGGACAGCCCTAGCCAGATTAAAATGTAATTGGAAAATGTTTAACAAAATAAATAAAAATACAATAGAACATAGATAATGCTAATCTGTGGTTTTTTGTGTCAGTATGTCAGTTGGGGTTCTGTTTCTATTTTAATTTGACACCGCGGCCCTAACATATGGTCATTTTTTTGAGGTCACCTAGTACAACTAAGAAATAGTTATATTCCTTTCTCTTTAACTGGAAAATTGAAGTGCTCCACTCTTATAGTTTTACTGTTTCCTCCTGTGATTCGTTTAGCTTTTCTTTTAAGAATCTAGATGCTATGGTATTTGGTGCATTTATGTTCAGGTAAATGATACCTTTCAGCAAAATATAGCTCATCTATTTCTCTTGAGTTGATTTTGGTTTTTGCTTTATCTGAGATCATGATTGCCAACCCCCATTTTTACTTCATCTCAAGCATAATAGATTTTGCTCTAGCCCTTATTTTAACTGTTTGTATCTGTTTCAAGTGTGTTTCTTATAAACTATAGTTTTAGATTCTAGTTTCTAATCCATTCTGTTTTACTCTTCCATTTTTTATGAGTGAGTTCATGCCATTCACATTCACAGTTATGTTTGCTAGCTGTCCTATTTATCCTTTTCTTTTTTACTTTATCCCCTTGTTAAGAATATGTTCTGCTTCTGACTGTTGCCTCAGTTAATCTACCCTCCCTCTTATTCCCATCTCTATCCTCACTTTTCTCTTAACCTTTTTCACTCCTACTTACCTGTTAGGTAAGATTCATTTCTATACCTAACCCTGTGCATATGTTTATTCTTCTCTCCTTGAACCAGTTCAGATGAGAGTGAGGTTCAGTTCTCTTACACTACCCTGACTCTGCTCCTTCTGTTTTATAACCTTTTCCTTGTGTACTCCATTTAGGTGAAATAAGTTCATCCATTATTCCTCTCCCTTCATTACATTCCTCTTATCCACCCTTCCATTATTTTGAAATCTTCCAAACACAATAGAATCACACCTAAACCTTTCGTGTAATTAGATGCCTCCTACGACCTCTGGTGGTGATAAAGTTCTGAGGGGTATCATCTCCCCATAGAAAAAAGGAAACAGTTTAACCTTATTTAGTCTCTTATGATTTCTCAGTTGTGTTTTTATGCTTCTCTTGAATCCTGTGTTTGAATGCCAGATTTTCTATTTAGCTCTGGGCTTTTCATCAGGAATACTTGAAAGTCCTCTTTCATTAAATGCCCATTTTCTCCCTGTAGGACTATAGTCAGTTTTGTTTGGTAGGTTTTTGTTGGTTGTGATGCTAGATTCTTTTCCTTTTCTAAGCTTTCCATTCCTTTATATGGGAGCTGCTAAATCTTGTATGATTCTGATTGTGATACTTGAATTCTTTCTGGCTGCTTACAATATTTTCTGTTTAACTTGGGAGCTCTGGATTTTGACTATAATATTCATGGGGGTTCATTTTAGGGTTTTGGGATATGACTGGTAGATTCTTTCCATTTCTACTTGCCCTCAGATTCTGAGATATCTGGCAATTTTCTTTCATAACTTGTTGAAATAACTTGTCTAGGCTCTTTTTTTGATCATGGCTTTCAGGTAACCCAATGATACTTCCATTATCTCTCCTCAATCTACTTTCCAGGTCAATATTTTTTTTTCTGTGAGATATTTCACATTTTCTTCTATTCAGTCTTTTGATTTCTTTTTAAATTTCTTGATGTATTAATGGAGTCATTCGCATATATTTGGCCAATTCCAATTTTCAAGGAGTTATTTTGTTCAGTAAGGTTTTGTACCTCTTTTACCAAGCTATTAATTCTCTTTTCACTTTCTTGCATAGTTCTCATTTCCCATTTTTGCCTCTACCACTCTTAATTTAAAAGAAAGTATTTTGTGCCCTTTTTAAAACTGTAACTCTTGTAGAAATTCTTGTTGGGTTTGTGTCCAGTCTACTGCAGGCTTTGCCTTCTCTGTGCCTTGGGTTTGTTTCTCTGTCATCATAGCAGCTCTTTATGGTCACATTCCTTTTTGTTTGCTCATTCTTCCAGGGGTAGGAAACCTTCGGCCTTTGAGGCCACACGTGGCCCTGTAGGTCCTCGAGTGTGGCCCTTTGACTGAATCCAAACTTCACAGAACAAATCCCAAATTTCACAGAACAAATCCTTTTATTGAGGGGATTTGTTCTGTGAAGTTTGGATTCAGTCAAAGGGCCACACTTGAGGACCTACAGGGCCACGTGTGGCCTCAAAGGCCGAAGGTTCCCTATCCCTGTTCCAACCTATTTCTTGAATTTGGACTTTATATTAATGGTGGGCTGTGATCACTTCTAAGTGGGACTTCTTTGTCTTTTTACATTTTTCTGGAGCTTTTATAGTTCAGTTTGGAAGTTTGTAAGCTTTAGTGATCCCCGAAGCCATGTGATCTGGGGAAAGGTCTCTTCTCTGCCCTCTTGGTCTGAGCCTCGCAAGTTCCTGATCCAGGTTTGAGTTTACTAGCTTGTGCATGGTTGAGTTTCAGTAGACTGCTCCAGGACAGAGCCACTGCATTGCTGGCTCAGTTATGGTCTAGGTATCATGCCTTGGTTATTCACTGCAGGTTTATGTGCTTGGCTAGGACTGAGTTGCCACTATATTCCTGGGCTCAGAGCCACACGGCTATGTTTAAGACACTTTTTCTGTGTTCAGTATTTAGCCAAGATCCTCAGCTCTGCTTTGGATCTGTGACCTGAACTTGAGTAATGGGCAGCAGAGCTGTCAGGTTGCACCTGTTCCCACACCTAGCACTGGTTCAGGGATCTCCTGGGAATTCGTTTGACCCTGGTGCATTGTTTCAGCCCCCCTTCTCTGGGTGCTGGAGTTCCTGCTAGAGGGGCATGTTCCTGGTCAGTCCCTGCCCCAGTGTCTGCAATTTCTGTCTTTCAAAGCTGGGCTGGAAAAATGCATCACTGTGACTTTATCTAGGCTTTCCTTACCAGAATTCCATATGGAGAAATTTCTGGGTTGTTGTGGAAGGGTGCTCGGCAAGCTAGGCAAAATGCTTCCTCTCTCCTATTTTGATTTTAATTCCAACTTCCTCTATTTCCAAAGAACCTCTTCTCCTTCCTAACACTTGAAGACAAAATTCACGCAGACGTCCTGTTGTACACATTGGCCTCTCAGTTCATCAACCTCATCACTTCTCAGGCCTATTCACTGATCTCTCTGAGTGCTTCATTCCTGCTAAACTAGCTGTCACTGACTACTGGTTCCTCAGTTCTTCCCAGTCACTCCCCCCTCCCCACTTTCCTTTTATTTCAACAAACACAAGGGGTTATGAAGTATCTTAGGGGAGGGAGCAATTAAAATTAGGCCTCCTTGAAATGTTGAATCACATAAAATATTAACATAATTTTGAGTTACAGAATATACAAAATACAATTTTAATTATGTTCTCAGTTAAGAGAGGGCACCTGAGGAATAGTCTGGTGTAATGGAACACCTGGACTAGAGTTCAGAAGACGGGCATTTGTGTCTCAGCTATGTGTCCTACAAAAATCTGTATTTTTCTGAGCCCCGGTGGCTTCATCTATAAGAAGAAAAATACGCTACCAATCAGCCAAAAAGCATTAAGCTCCTACTATATTCTAGGTATTGTAGATAGCATCTTAAGAAGGACACACAACTTCAAGAAACTTACCTTCTGATGGGAGAGAAACATACAGGGTGTCCCAAAAGTCTTAGTGCAGTTTTACATTTTAATATTAAACTTGCCCCCGAAATCACCATTTTAAAAGCTTAATTATATATATTTCTGCTGCACTTAATTTGTAAATATTGAATAATTTTAACCAGGTGGGGTGCTTCTGTATTCAGTCATTGAGCAGCAGCTTATGAAAGTTTTTACAAAATTCAAAAATCCACTAGAGTGATGTATAGGACACGATAGTGATTATGTAGACTTTTAATAAGAAATATCAATGTCAAAATTTTAAATAGCTTTTTAAGCTTTTTTACGTTTGTAATATTGATAAAAATAAAGCTTTAAACCACGCTAAGACTTTTGGGACACCACGTCTAAAGTGAATGAACACAAATATATACAAAGTAGTTAAATACAAATACAAGGTATCTTGGGGAGAGGATACTAGAAGGTGGGGAAGGTGCTTGAAAGGGAACTTAGCGGAGCTGAGGAGGGTGGGCATTCCCGGGACGCAGATGCATGAGCGGCCAGAGCGCCCAGCTACAGCTAGCGGACAAGAAGGCCAAAATTCACCCCTCGAGGCCTCACGTTCCTCCCTCGTAAAGCTGCAGGAGCCCCTCCCTCGCCGCCCCGAGCAGCTTTCTCGGGATCCTCCCTCCCCACCCCCGCGGCACAGAAAGGCCAGGCGCACGGAGCCTCTGCGCCTGCGCCGCTCGGACCCGCGCCTGCGCAGTGAGGGCCCGAACGGAGGAGCGCCGAGACGCGGGCGCGGGACCGGGGAAGGGCCCGTAAAGCTCCGCCGGCCTCGTGAGCAGGCTCGGCCACGCTTCCCAGCGCGGGGGCCGGGGCCCCGAATCTCCGCCGCCACCATGGTGCGCTGCGGCTGCTCGCTCCTGAGGAAGGTGCGTGTCTGGGTGGCCGGGCCCTCCCCTTCGTCCGTCAGCCCAGTCCCCTCCGCTCTCCCCACCTGCTCCCCGCTTCTTTTCCCCCAGACTCCCTCCACCTTCTCTCCCCTCCCCGTCCTCATCTCCCTTTCTCCCCCTTGCCTCGTCTTCCCTTCCCCTTAACTCCCCCCCCCTCCTTCCCTTCCTCCCCTAGCCTTGGGCCCCCAAAGGGCAGACCCCCGCCCGTTAGGGTCCTAGCTGAGCAGCAGGGTCAGCTTTTTGGAGTTTGGGCAAGTTGAATCCGATTGGCCATATCCTTATTCGTGCCCGTGGCGACCCCCTCCGGACCACGGGAGCTCCTGGAGGACGGGGCCGAGTGACCCCAGGCCTGGCCCGTAGCAGAGAATTTAAGAGCGTCTTGCGGCTTGAAGAGCTGAGCCCGGAGGTGCTTTCTTACCCTGGAGCAGATGTTCCCAGGTCACCCTCCCACTGCATACCCTGCCTCATCCTGTCTCTGGTGTTCCATCCTGCCTTTCGAGCCTGGCTTTAATTGTAATTTTGTACATTTTGTGAGTGTAAACTCCAGGCTTGCGGGCGCCCCTCCCACACTGCCCCGAGCAACTTCCTCGGGATCCTTGCTTCCCACCCCCGAGGCCCAGAAAGGCCGCCTGCCCCACGGAGAAAATGGTCATTTTAGGATTCTCCTTTGAAAAGGATGTCCAAAGCCTCTGAACCGTTTGCTGCTTGCAGCTAAAAAGGGGCATGCTTAAATCACATAGTGGGTTGGCTCGGTTATGTGAAGAAAATTAGGCCATTTTCATTTTTGCATAGTGTGAGATTAAGAATCACCCCAGGTAAAATCACTGCTGCTTTAACAAAAAAATCCCCTTAAGTAATAATGAAGAGACAAGCATCAGTTTGGACGTTGGGAGACCTGAGTGCTAATTCTGACCACTCCTGAGTATGTGACCTGGAGCAAATCACTTTAATTCGCTGGGCCTCAATTTACCTCATCTGTAAAGTGAAAGCTTTGGAATAGATTGACTATGCAGTCCTTGCAGGCTCTAAGGTTCTTCAGTTATCCCTTTTGAACATTATATTGATGGTAAAGTCTGTCATTAAGTGTAATTGTTGGTAATGAGCTTTCTAAATCTCTGAATTTGTTGTACCACACAGACTAGCACAGCACTTATTTTGAACTTAGGAACTTTAAAAGGCATGCATAGGGAAAGCTGAGATCATCTAATTTGGTGATGTCCCTAGAAGAGATTCTTTTTCCCAAGACCTTTGAGCTCAGTTTGAATCAACAGGTTATCAATATGATTATCAGAAATCAAGAATTTGGTTTTCTAGGACATTAAAGAAGAAAGCCTTTTTCTGCCATGTTTCTGAACTTTAATGGATCTGTCTGTCATCTCATGTGTCATATTGACATGTCAGTTCTCCCATAAAGGATGCAGATCACAAAGGGTCCAAGCCTACTCATCTGTAAAGTTGTTGTCTGTATCCTCCTCCCATAAATTTCTCCACAGTGTGAATCCACAAATATCCACTCAGCTTGTGGGGGAGGGGGAGTTCCTTTAGTTCTCTTGGCACTGCACTTACACCTCTGTGTTCTGGCCTGGGTTATCCTCTGTTAGGTGACCAGCCCAGATACTTTTGTCATCATGAATAATTCTGATATCTTTTATGATGACCTTTGTGCACAATTCTTAATCCGTAAATACTGCTCGCACCTCTCCACTACCCTTTGCATGACTGTCAACTTTAATTCTTTACAAACTGCTATTCCATAACTCAGGGCCGTATAGTATCACTGAAAGAATCTTGATGTTTGAAAGGCAGATCTGTTGCTTGAAACAAAAGCTTGCTATTGGAGAGAATTATGCCTGGAAAAGGAGGTGGGGACCTACAGATGGACATGGTATATGTTGAATCTTAATGTGAAGGCATAGAGGAAAGCCCTCAGGATATTGGGTGGATCCTCTCTGGAGGATTTATGGGAAGACATAGGCAGCAATCTTATGGGAAAAAGCATAGGTGGGTATGGATAAGCACTTTCGGAGAGAGCATACACATTAATGAGATCATAAATCCATCAAAGTATTAATGAAAGTTGGGGTGTGTGTGTGTGTGTGTGTGTGTGACATCCAAGTAAAGATACAGCATTATAGGCATTTGAGGATATGACCCTGGGGTTTGAAGGAAAGGTCAAGCCAGGAGATAGAGATTTGTTTTTATCATTTCCTCTGTAAACTGTGAGAGTCTTTTATGTGACACACCAAACACATTTTTCAGGTTAGATTTGAGTAATAATTAGGAAGAGAAGAAATTGTGGAGAGAGAGCTTTATCTTTGAATATCCAGTTTAGTTCAGCAAACATTTATTGAGTACCTAGTGTATGCTTAGCATTCATCTTGTGCAAAAGAGAAGAGATACTTAGCTGGTAAGAGTTTACAGATGAGATAAGAAAAGATAACAAGTACAATACAAACAGCTACAGAATGTTTTAGAGTTAGAACCTAGAGCTAGAAGGCATCTTCTAAATAAATAATCTGATCCCTTCAGGGAAAAGCTGAAAGGACAGTTTTAGCCCCAGTCTAAGATGGGATCCTCCTGGCTCAGTTTCCCCATTATGTTCCTTTGAAAGGCAATGTTACCCACCTGCCTATTCCTGAGTCTGGCTATGAGGTAGATTTGATACTGCATGGTTGGAAAATTGAATTATCTGAAAACAAACAGAGCTAAGGATGTTTTATCCTCTCAAAGTTGGGCCCTAAATCTAGTCCGTGCTTTATACCTGGGCCCTGCAGTTTTTTCTGTTAGATTTGTGTCTTCCAGACTACATACAGGCCATTCACCTTCAGTTGGTAGCAAAAGTGAGTACCAGCCAATGTCCCCATCATTCCCTGGATGTAGCCTGTGCTCAGTTCTAGTCAGCCTCCTCTTTGGCACCCCCTCAAGGCAGGGACATCTCTACAACCCTTGCCAGCAGGAAGCAGTTTCAGAAGCCGAGACCTTCACCCCTTACACCAAAAGAATTTGGGTCCCATTTGTTTGAGGGGGGAATGATGAGGATGGGATCTAGACCCCAAAAAGGAAAAACCCTGGACTTTCCCACTTGGCCAAATCTATGGTGTTGGCCTGAGGCTATAATCCCATCAGCTGGCCTTTCTTTGTAGACCTTCCTATTGCTCCTGGCCACTTCCCACCCTTAATCCTATTTAGACTCCATTCTCCCTGGCCACTTGACCCAGGTCCCTGAAGTTCTATTACCTCATATTCTACTTGGCCACTCCTAGATCCCTCCCATAGTCTTTCTGTATATAAAGTCTTTATTGTCTCCATTAAGATGCTTAGATTCTTACAATCTAGCCACTGCTCAGATTCTTACAGTCCTGCCAATAGCTTACTAATGTTCAGACTCCTTAAGAGTCTACCCAATATGACGGATGTTCTGATAAACCTTGTCTTTGGCTGGGGGAAAAAAAAAGAAAGAAAGAAAGAATCTGATCTAAACCATCTTGTTTTATAGATAGGAAAACCAAGACTCAGAGCAGATCTGTGCTGGAACTGAGGTCACACTAGCTTAGTGATCAGCAGAGACCAACCTGGACCCAGGTCTTTTTTTACACTATGTTACATTTTTGTAAATGTGCTTCATACACAGGTTTAGTATCCTAATGAGTTCTTTGTATCCAGTAAACCCAAACTTTTTTTTTTAATAGTATGGAAACTTCATGGACAATCTAAGACTCTTTGCAAAAGGAGGAGCTGGTGGAATGGGTTATCCTCGATTAGGTGGAGAAGGAGGCAGAGGTGGTGATGTCTGGGTTGTAGCCAAGAAAAGAATGAGCTTAAAAAAAATTAAGGATAAATATCCCCAGAAACGGTTTGTGGCAGGAGAAGGAGCAAACAGTCGGTAAGTACTTTATTGAATGATTTAAACTCATAACATTGGACAGCTGTACTTTTAACAAACCCAGCTTTTTTTCCCCCTGCAAATTATTTGCACTGTATAACAAAAATCTTTTGGTGTACAACTGCTGTTTATCTGTAGGGCTTCTCCTAGCAAAATTGTAGTGTTGGAAATTTGTACCCAACTATATACCCCATAGCTTTTTTTCCCCTTTCTGTGCCTTTTTCCCCCTCCAGGTAGACCCTTCCCTCTTCTGGGGGCCTTACTTTCCTCTGTTCTCCATATCTCCTTTCCTTTGAGAATATAACAGTCCTTCACATTTGATAATTTGCTGAAAAGACTTTGGCTGAAAACTCATTCATCTAAAATATTACTAAAACCAGGCATTTTACTTTATTATTCCTATAATTGTGTAATGAAAGGCTGTTTCCCCAACTGAAGCTCGAGAAGCTTTTCCCTTATTAGCCTCTCCTAAGACATAGAGCCAACCCTGTTCCAACACAAATCTACTCCAAGATTATCTGTTTCCACACATCATTAGAAGCCTAGGATTTATAGAGCTGGAAAGGACCGTAGGGATTATCTTGACTTTTTTGGGGTCATGTACCCCTTTGGCAGTCTGGTGAAACCTAGGAACCCCTTCTTAGAATAATTTTTTAAATATAGAAAATAAAACACTTAGGATAACTAAGATAGCCAAAATAAAGATACAATTTTTCCCATCCAAGTTCATGGATTCCCTGTAATCTATCCATTTTTCCTTGGGGGTTTGTGGACCTTAACCTCATTATGAATGAAGCTAATGAACCTAAAATAAGTCTGCACTTCAGGTTTTTCTCTAACATGATCATACACATGATCCCAAGTTCTGCTTTTCACCCTCAGTGTCCTCCCATCATCCCCACCAGTGTGGTATCCAATAAACTTTTTATTTCTAGGCCTTGTTTCCTTTTTCCATCTTTCACTGCATACATATAAGTAAACTCACTTATTTCATACCAAGTGATATTTTTTTGCATTTCACAGTAATAGCTTACACTTCTAATAGGGCTTTAAGGTTTACTAAGTATTTGAGTGAATGAATGAAAAATAATTTATTAAGTGCTTGTTATGTGTACGACATAGTGCTAAGCTCAGCATGCAAGAAGAAAACAAGACAGGCCCTGCTCCCAAGGAGTTTATAGTAAGGAGAGACAACACATATAGGAAGTTTCAGCTACAAGTAAGATTTTTAGTGTGCATGACAAAGCTGGTAGTAGGTATTTTCTTTATTATCATTTCAGTTGACAAAACCGTATCTTTTTCTGCTGTTGAACCCTTTGACATTGCCAAGGACTTTGATGTCAAGAATTTTCTCTTTTTGAGTTTTCAGTAGCTGTGGCTACAGAAAAAGTAGAAACATGGTAGCTGCTGAGGCAGTTGCCAGGTCACACCTCTGAAAGGATTGCCTTGCCTGAAGATGATTGAGAGGCTCTGGTGAAGGATCTAGACTGTCTCCATTCAGATCTGAGGGGATGTGGTTTAACCCACCTCCTGTTGTACCCTTCCTCCCTCATAGAGGCTAGCCCGCCTAGACTGACCAGGCCTGAGCTAAGGTGTCTCTTGGCTCAAAAGTCCAGTGCTTTTTCCTGTTATACTACAATGCTTTTTCTGAACAATGTTCTCTTTTCTCTTCTCTTTTTTGTCCAGTGCCTGGGGAAAATTTCTAGCGCTCTGCCCCCCTAAAAATTTTAGATGAAAAAATGGTAATTGTTGAGATTTCACTAGAAACTTTTTAAGAGAAGCCACTGTTATCAGCCCCACAAGTGCCAGAATTCAAGCTAAATAAAAAGCTGTTTTATTCAGTTTTTCTATTTTGTTTAATTTTTAGAGTTGCAAGAATGAAAGTGTATGTGTATCTTATTGTATACTATATTTCAACTATATGCATTGGTGTGGGAATCAAATCACTGTTTATAACATTGTTTTTCTTTGAATCGGTTCAACAACATTAAACATTTACTGGCTGCAAAAAACTGTTCTCAGAGCTAAGGGGCATACAAAGATGAATAAAGCTTGTATTGCCTTCATAGGGCTTACAACCAGCAGACTGTGTGTATAACTCAAGAGTAAAAGATTCTCTTGTTTTTGTCTTTGCATCTTCTGTTCTGCCATATAATGAGTGGTTAAATAAACACTGTTGAATTGAATGAAATGTAGACAAGTAACTAACACCAAGTGGAATAAATGTGTAAGAGAGAAGCAGATTACTGTGAGAACTCAGAAAAGAGTACTTTTAGCTTAGGGGAACAGAAATCTAGAGAAAGCTGTTTTCTGTAAGGAAATATATTCAGTTCAAACAACTGACTTAAAGATACAGCCCTTGGTAAATTATTATTATCTTGGCAAATGCAAACACTTTTAAAATGTCTTATGTAAAAATTAGCCTAAGGAGATATGTACTGTCCAGCCTTGTTGTAAACTAGAATACCCACTTGAAGTATTGATTGTTTAGTTTACTTGATCTGCTTTCATTTTTTAAAATTTGGGGCATTTGTGACTTTGTTTTTGCCTTTCAGAATCAGTGCATTAAAGGGAGAGAAAGGCCTGGATTATGAAATATCTGTGCCTGTGGGCATTACAGTAACTGATGAGAGAGGCCAAATTATAGGTGAATATCCTGATTTAATTTTTTTGTAAATATTTGAGAAATGTGAACATTTTGAAAAATGATTGTTTATTGTTTTTCTCACCTGTAGTGTCTGTCTCATCCCTAGGGGAGAAAGAATCTAAAACTGTAGATTAAATTTACCTTCAATGAATAATTCTTTATTTAATATATTTAAGTACTAGCTTATAATGGTCTCTCTGTTGAATTGTCTTTAAGTGTATGGTGTAGGTATATGATATATGGTACATGTATGGTATGTGGTATGTGCAGTCCCTGAAGGTGAGATACAACAAAGTGTGGATTGATTCTCTGCTGCTTTTGCCAATTTTGGCCTGACAGTTAACACTGAGAAAACACAGGTGCTTCACCAGCCAGCACCATACCATCCAGACATAGAACCATTGGTTACAGCAAATGGAGACAATTCTGAGGGTAAAATCACGTCCCTTGGCAGTATACTTTCTAGGGATGTACACAAGGATGATGAGGTTGTTATACATATTGCCAAAGCTAGCTCTGTGTTTCTGAGGCTCCAAAAGAAAGTGTTGGAAAGAAGAGATATTAGACTGTCTACCGAGCTGTTGTGCTGATCTCATTGTTGTATGCCTGTGAAACCTGGACAGTCTCCCAGCTCCATGCCAGGAAAATGAATTGCTTCCATTTGAATTGTGTTAGGAAGTTCTAAAGATCACCTGGCAAGATAAAGTATGGACCACTTAGGTGGTGCTAGGCATTCAAACTCTGCTGCAGAGTAAAGCAGAATTGAAGTAGTTTAAAAGAAACACAAGATGCACAGATTTCGAGAATCCACCCCAAATGTTCACAGGAACTATTTGTACTCAACCTGTGGTAGAACATTCTGAGTTCATATTGGTCTGATCAGCCACAGTTGGACACACTATAATTTGACTCTAACATAGCAATTTCATTTTGGTCATCTTGAAGAACAAAGGACAGTCAACCAGCCATAGGTACACGTACGTTAGATATTGAACTCTTTAATCAACTTAAAATGGACACATTTCCTACTGTTCTCACTTCTAGTCATCTCTTCCATTTGGGAGCAAACAGTTCCTTGAAGCTTCTTTCTACGCACTGGAAAACTTGCCCATTCAGATCTTTGATTCTCTTTCCTGTTCACTGGACATCTTCTTTGACCGTCTTAGAGAAATATCTCTGCCCATCTGTCTGAAGATCCTCCTGTGGTTCAATACCATATGTCTTTATCAGTCTTTCGCCAGCAACCATTTGCCATTGGACACTGACCCTACCATGTGACCACTTCCTCAAGGCTCTGCTTATATTTCCCCCTCTGGAGGAAATACCCACATGGAGTCACTTCCATTTTCCTTTATTCCCATTAGAAGCCACCCAAACTAACAGACACAAATATTCTTACTAAGGCTTTTCTATGTCCAATAATACCTAAATAGTCTCAATCTCCCAACCTTCTTGGTTTCCATGCAATGCCAAGAGATCAAACCTCATCCTTGACTTTTTAAGAAAAAGTTTAAACTTAAATACTAAAACTTAAATATATAATAAGAAAAGAGAAATGCATTATAAACTTAAATATAAAATAAGAAAAGGATTCAAAATGTACAGCAATAAATTTCTATTCCAAGAAAGCCTATATAATAAGGCTCCACATTGTGTTCAGAACTGTCCAACTTTTCTTTGCTTCATTCTGAGTTTTCTTTTGTTCTGTGCTGTGCACTTTTTACTTTGTTCTTTTTTTCCCCCTTCTTACCTCCCCCTAAGGCTACAATTAAGCGCATACACACATACACACACACATACACACACATTCACTCATGTATATATTATATATGTGTACACACATAAACATACATACACACATAAACATATACATACACACATACATACACTTGCATATATATATTTAGATATGTATAGTCATACTCATGTGTAGACATATACATTCATATGCATCTGTAAGACCATACTATACTTACTTGTTCTCTGTTCCTCTGAGGGTAGATAACATCTTCCTTCATAAGTTCAAGTCTTCCCATATTTTTCTAAGTCTACCAACTCATCGTTTCCTATACCACAACAATATTCCAACCTTATAATATCTAATTTAAATATTAATATGACTGACATATAGTTCATGATTACTATCCCTGCTTTTGTTTCCTAATAAATTCTACTCCTGATCTTCATTTTATATTTGTGTGTTTCTTATTTCCTATCCCTTCTTACTCCTCTACTTTATTTCTACTCGCTACCTTGCCCTCCTATTACTTAACCTACCCCCCATCAAAGATTCCTCTCTTATCCTGTCTTCCCCACCCTTTCCCCCAGAGTTTTCCCACACTCTTGTTTCTGTCTGAACTCAGAAGATTTTTATAAACTTCAGAATGTTTGATATTTAGTTTTTCTTTTTCTTTCTTTCTTTTTAGGCAATTGGGGGTAAGTGACTTGCCCAAGGTCACACCGCTAGTAAGTGTCAAGTGTTTGGTCTGAGGTTGGATTTGAATTCAGGTCCTCCTGACATCTGGGCTGGTGCTCTATCCACTGCGCCACCTAGCTGCCTCTTATTTAGTTTTTCTTTTGAGATGTTCCACATTCTCTTCAATTTTTTTCTTTCTTTATATTTTTTTTTAATTATTTCTTGGTCTCTTATAACTTTGCTGGTTTTCTCTTGCCCACTTCTGATTTTCAAAGAGTTGTTTTCTTCCATAAGATGTTGAATTTCCTTTTCCAGTTGATTGACTTTTCATAATCTTGTTTTTCTTGATCTTTCTTTTTTTTTTTTTTAATTTTTCCTCAATTTCTCTCATTTGATTTTTAAAGTCTTTTTAAAAATCTTATATGAATTCTTTCTGGGCAGGTGATCCTTTGACGTTACCCTTTGGCGTAGGAGAAGCTTTTTCTTTGCTTCACTATGCTCCTGAAGACAAGCAGTGGTCTTCCCTATCCCCATAGTAACTTTCTACAGTTGAGTTCTTTCTCCTTTGCCTGATTTTTTTGCTTTTCGGTGAGGTAGTCGGGGTTAAGTGACTTGCCCAGGATCACACAGCTAGTAAGTGTCAGGTGTCTGAGGCTGGATTTGAACTCGGGTCCTCCAAGTCCAAGGCCAGAGCTCTGTCCACTGTACCACCTAGCTACACCTAGCTACACCTAGCTACCTGATCATTTTTTTAAAAAATTATTTGTATTAGCTGCTTATTGTAATCACCTCTAGTCCTGGGAAATTGGGGATGGTGCCTCTGACCTCAGATCCTCCTTCAGTTCTCCCCTCTGGCCTGGAACCAACACCAAGAACTCAGCCCTCTTGTAAGTGTTCCTTGCATGGCCTCTTGACCATTTGACCATTCCTTTTACATTTTCTCTTATCTTTATTATTCCACTGAAACTATTCTCCTTCTATAACAAACCCATTAGCCTTTACCCAGTCTTCATTCTTCTTGACCTCACTGCTGTATTTGACATTAATTGTGCCCACCTTTAAATTCTTCTCTTAGTATCTGTGCCATTGCCATCTCTTGGTTCTTCTACCTCTATCTTTTTTCCCCCATGTTTCTCTTCCTGCACAGTTCTCAACTCTCTTTATAATCTCTTAATGGTTTCTCCTTTGCCTGTGTCATCCATTTCTGACTTTGACTTTCACCTCTGTGTTAGATAGTTCACAGATCTTCAGCCTTGGCTCCACTCTACTCATTTCAACCACCCGATGGATTGCTTTAACCTAAAAATCTACTCAGGAGGGGTAGCTAGGTGGCTCAGTGGATAGAGCTCCAGCCTTGGAGTCAGGAGGACCTGAGTTCAAATTTGGCCTCAGACACTTGACACTAGCTGTGTGACCCTGGGCAAGTCACTTAACACCAATTGCCTCACGAAAAAGGAAAAAAAAATCTACCAAGGAGCCAAACTTCTAGTGATATGTCTCCAGACTTGTCTGTCCATTCAGTCTGTTACAGTATTCATGCTAGAATACTATTTATATCAAATCTTCTTTTCCACTTGTAGAGCCTTCAATAACCTGTTTGCCTTTAACCAACCATTAGGCATTGGAGTAGGATTTTTATAGAGATTCTGTTGAATAAATGTTTAAAATTATGTATATTCAATTTAGGTTATTTAATTCTTTTAATTAAGTAGTTTCAGGTGGCACATGATCCAGATACCAGAAGAATTCCTTATTTTCTTAAGAGTTTAACTAAAGGCTTAATGAAGTTTATTTCTGATTATGATGGTTTCATTTACTTTTCTTAGTCTAGGCATATAACTAGTATGCTAATGTGTGATCATGGTGTACATCAACTTGGAGAATTTTATTTTCCCTTTTTGTTTTCAAACTCTTCCTAGGAAACAAATTTTTTATTCTTCTTGTTCAGTTATTTCAGTCATGTCTGAATCTTCATGACTTCATTTGGGGTTTTCTTGGCAAAGATGTTGGAGTGATTCGCCATTTCCTTCTCCAGCTCATTTTACAGCTGAAGAAACAGGCAAACAGAGTTAAGTGACTTGCCCAGGGTTACACAGCTAGTAAATGTCTGAGATTGGATTTGACCTCAAAAATATGAGTCTTTCGGACTCCAGGTCTGGCCCTGTATCCACTGTGTGTCCTTGCTGCCCCAAGGGAAACATACGCTGATAATAATTCTTTCAGTTCTGGGGATTGTGATTTATAGTTGTAAAGTAAATGAAAATGTGTCACATCACTAGTAAAGCCTGCATACTGATCCTCACTGTAAATTTTTTTGTTTGTTTGTTTTAGGAGAACTCAATAAAGAGGATGATAGAATTTTGATAGCAAAAGGAGGACTTGGGGGTAATTTGCTTTCAAATTTCTTGCCATCCAAGGGTCAAAAAAGAATAATTCACCTTGATCTAAAACTTATAGCTGACATAGGCCTTGTAGGGTGAGTAATGCTTATATATTAAGATATGAATCTCAGGGAAAATTATGGGAATGGAAAATAAATGGTGTTTTTTGAGGGGAGGGGGTGAGACAGTCGGGGTTAAGTGACTTGCCCAGGGTCGCACAGTTAGTAAGTGTCTGAGGCCAGATTTAAATGCAGATCTTCCTGACTCCAAGCCCAGTGCTCTGTCCACTGTGTCATGTAGGGTCACTGTACAGATTTACAGTTTACTTGAGGGAGATATGTTGTACATACAAAAATGTGGTGCAGATGCAATATGATAAAGGCAAATGAAAGATCCAAAGTTATTCTTAAACATTTGAGTATTGGGAAGGATATAACTTGAGAGTGGAGAAGGCACCAGAGGAAACAGCTCCTAGAGTGGTCCCTTAAAGGGAGAGAAAAGTTTCAGCAGTCAGAGATAAGGAAGAAGTCATTTCAGATGTGAGGGAGGGACTGCATAAAAGTAGAGAAGTGGGAGAATATTGGATACTATCAGGGAACAACTAATAATTCAGTTTGTACTGAACATTTTTGCTTTAAAAGGAATAAATCATAAATAAGGGTACAAAGTAGATTGGACCAGATTGTGGAGTGTTTTAAATGCCTAGCTAAGGAATTTGTATTTTATTCCACAAGTATTATTGATGAGATGGGTAGTGAGTACCTAGGAAAAAAAAAATGTAATCACCCCCCAAAAAAGAAAAAGCATCATTTTACCAAGAACGTGTCTTATCAGACTAACTTCATTGACTTTTTTGACAGTATTATTAAACTCATAGATCAAAGAAATGTCTGAGATACAGGCTACTTTAGTGTTTGACAAAATCCCTTATTATACTTGTGGAGAAATGTGAACTAACCACTAGTGTCCTATTTGATTGACTGTACCCCAAAAGGAGTCAGAGATCTCCAGGGAAGTGTCTTGGGTCCATGGCTAAAGGTGCAGAAGGCCCATAGATCAAATTTTCAGATGACACAAAGTTAGGAGGAGTGGCTAATAGACTGAATAAAGGAGTCAGGAGATTTTAACATACTAGAATATTAGACCAAGTTGATTAAATTGAAATTTAGTAGACATAAAGGTAAAGTCTTACACTTGGGTTCCAAAAGTCATAAGTACAAGTACAAGATGGGAGAAATGTGAAAAATTTGAAAAAGATCTTGAGATTTTAGTGTACTGCACACTCAGTATGAGTCAGCAGTGTTATAAGATAGATGGCCAGGAAAGGTCATGCAGTTAGGGGCTGTATTATGAGAGAGGCTTAGGAAGGTCGTAGTCTGGGCAGACCGCAAGCAGCGAATTTTAGAAAGGACATTGATAAGCTGGAGAGAGTCTTGGGAGGTTGGGGGTGGGTGGGAATGGGAGTGGAAATATGAAAGGCTTCTAATTTCTGCCATATGAGGATTGGTTGAAGGGAATGCAGATGTTTAGTTCACAGAAAAGAAGTCTGGTGTTAGGGAAGTTATGATAGTTAACTTCAAATATTTGATTGTATGTCATCAAAAGAGGGGATTAGACCTCTTCTTGGACCCAAAGGGCATGACTAGAAGCAGCAGGTGAGTTTCAGAGGCACATTTAGGCTTGACGTGATAATAGTAAGATGACATTTATGTAATGTTTAAAGTTGGTAAGGTACTTTCTATATATTTCATTTGAGCCTCTTAACAACTCTTTGAAGGGAGATGCTACAGGTATTAATATTGCCATTTTGCAGATAAGGAAAAACTTCCAAAGCAAGTAAAACTAACCTAAAATAGAATGGATATTCTGGGGACATAGGGGCCCCCTCACTAGAACTCTTCTGGCAGTGGTCACAAAGGCACAAGTCAGTTTGGTTCCAGTTCTGATTCTGCATTGGTGATACTGGGAGTCACTGAAGGGTTTTGAGGTTGGAGGTAACGTGGTCAGACTTGTGCCCAGAGTACATATGCTAGCTGTTGTTATCGTTATGTGGGGACACAAGACAGGTTACAGTTGGTTGGGGAAGCAGAAATGGTTTCAGAAAATGTAGACTATTGTATCTAGAAGTTTAGTAATGAATGGGAGAAGAAATAGCAATAGAATGCAAACATATGTCTCAGACTCTAGGTAGGGGTTGTTTTTTTTTTTCCAAGAATAAGAGAGACCTACCTATCCTAAAAATACACCTATACTCTGGGATAAGCGAGATCCACTGCATTCAGAGCAATATAGGAAGGAGCCTGTTAGCAAAGGAGAAATTGAAGATTAAAAGAGGTAGGATAGGGGTGGAATCAAAGGCACAGTTGGATCAATTGGGTTTGGCAAGAGAGTAGGGCCATGTCACTCTTTTATGTTGGAGGGGAGGGAGACATCAGACATGAGAAGTGAGGCAACTTAACTTCATCATTTCTAAGGTTTCCAAAATCAGAGTCTACGCAAATTATGAGGATAGGTTTCAGAGGGAGGATAAGTCCCGTTTTGGACATGAACAAATAAAGCATTTTTTAAGTACTTAACTATTTGCAAAGCCTTGTGCTAAATGCTGGAGAGAGTCCCTGCTCTCAAGGAGCTTGTGTTGGTTGGGGGAGACAGCATGTGGAAGGATTCAGATGGAAAAGGCCCCTGGCCCTTAGGAGGCAGTGTCAATGCAGAGGTTAATGCTGCTGCTTTAATGTCATTTAATATCACCATTCCCAGGACTCTTGGGTTCAAGGCTCTTGCCTGTCCCCAGCACTCTGCGGGAAGATGGTAGTCAAAACCATGGTGATAGTTTAACTCCTGTGGTTTTCTCAGGGCGCCTTGCTGCTTTAGCCTGGCTGGCTAACTTGTATTGTGAGTGGCAGTTGGTTTGCAGATGGTAGTGATGGTTCATCACTTCTCCACAGGAGTTGTTTCTCTGGATGGTGGCTGTGAGGACTGGGCTAGAAGCAGGACCAAAAGCCCGGAGAGTGCTCCTGTTAGGCCGGTCTGTCTGCTGGTGGCAGTTGATCAGCAGTTGTGATGATGATGAGGATAGGCCCCTTCTCCACGGCAGTTTCTCCCCTCAATGATGGCTGTGAGAACTGAGCAAAAAGCAGATCAGGTGATTTTTCAAGGAGCTCCTTTACTTTGGGCTCTTGGGTTCATGGTTCTGGGCTGCCTCCGGACATGTTAAACTTGAGGTGCCATTAGAATTTTAGGTAAAGCTTTAGAAGGTGGTTGGAAATGTGGACCTAATGTGTGGTGAGAGAGGTTGGGACTGAAGACTTAATTCAGCAAACATTTATTAAGTTCCTAGTATGTGTAACACTCTTTGGTGCTGAGTATAGAAAGACACAAAACAGTCTCTGCTGTCAAGAGATTTTCATTCCACTGGGAAGATACAAGATGGATACAACTTTAGTACAATATGAAGAAAATTGATGAGGGAGAGCGTGCTAACAACCAGGGAGAACGAGGAAGGCTTGTGGCACCCAAACTGAGTCCTGAAGGAAGGCTAAGACTGTGAGAACCAGAAGGAGGGAATGTGTCCCAGGTGTGGGTGAACATTTGTACTGATACACAAAGATCAGAACATCTTGTCCCGAAAACAACTCATAAGTCAGTTTGTCTGTAACAGCAAATGCATTGAGTGGTCTGAAAGAAGGCTGGGAGAACAGGTGGGAGCCTGATTGTAGGAGACCTCAAATGATGAGCTAAACCCAAGGATTTCGATTTGTTCCATTGGCCAGGGGAGTTCACTGAAGTAGAGATGTAATACCTACTACCCTTACCTTGGGAAAAGCATTCTATCAGTTGTCTGAAGGGAAGATACTGAAAGCCAGGGGACGTATTAGGAGGGTGTTAAGGCAGTCTAGGCAAGAGGCAATGGGAAAAACAGCTGCATGAGCAGAAAGAGCAGGACAAAAGGAAGAAGCATTGGGTGACTGACTGCAGACAGGAGAGAATGATTTAGGAACACACATGGCCCCCCAGGAGTACAGCAGTGCCCATCTTAGTCACAGGGACGTGTGGAGGGGGCCAGCTTTGGGGAAGAAGACCAAGAATGATTTTTCCAGTCTTGAAGCCCTTTCATACCTTTCCCTTAGCCTCCTTTTCCAGGCTTATTGTGCTTCCCTCCCCTTCATGCTCTCTGTGGTCTGGCCAGCTGGCCTGTGGCTAGTCTTCACCCACAACAGACCATCTCCTGTCTGGCCTTTTTACAATTCTCTGTATTCACCTTCACCTTTTAGAATCCCTCATTTCCTTTAAAGCTCATCTCAAAGTTTGTCTCCTATTTGAGGCCTTCACAGATTCCGTACCTCTTCACCCCCTTACCTCCCCCACAGAGTCACCTTGTGTTTATCTTGGGCACAGGCAGCGTGATGTAGTGAAGGGCCAAACTTGAAGTGAGGACCTGGGCTGAGGCCTTGCCTCCAACACATGTAATGCATTGGTAGAATTCCCTGTACCAATAAAACCCCATGTTCAGCCCTAGTTCTTATTTTTACTTATATATATATATATATATAATATATATATATGTACAGGTTCCTCGAGGGCAAGGATGGTTACCACTTTGTCTTTGCATCTCCTACACCAGAGTGTTAAATCAACCTTTGATTTGACCTAGCAGAGATACAGATTTGGTGGTTATCTTCATAGAGGTGATATTGAAATGTGGAAATGAAATACTCATTGGAGGGGAGGACATTAAGAAAGAAGAAAAGGAAAGAAATCATCCTTGGGGTTAATCTCAGAAGACCGAATGACGGGATAGCCAGGAGAATGCCTTAAGATAAATAGTATTTTAAAAAGGATGTGGTGCTAAGTAGTAGTATTTGCTACTGAGAGGTTAAGGAGAGGAGGACTGAGAAACAGCCACATTACATTGGTAATTTGGACGTCGTTGAATTCTGAGAAAGCAGTTTTGGTGGAAATAGTGGAAACAAGTCAAATTACAAAGGATTGAAAAGTTGGATAACCAGTAAATAAGGCAAGATAAAGCCTTGTTTTGTTTGTCAATTGATGAACATTATATGCTTATTTTGCCCAGTACTGTACTAAACAGTGGGGTACAAATACAAAAATGAAATCATCTGGCCTTCAGGGACTTAATGTTCTATTGGCAGAGACAACATATATACAAAAGTATATGCAAAGGAAATACAAGTTAATTTAAATAGAATCAGGAAGAGCCTGGGGGGAAGGACACACAATGGTGTGGGGTGGAACTACTACCATGAATACTAGCAAAACTGCCCATCCTTATAGAAGAGAAGCATTAAGACAGCAGAATCTTATGATTCTTTTATGAAATCTGATCTGCTGTTAGGTTATATTTCCGCTTCTAGTGCCATAAACTGGCTAGCTTTCAAACAATTTCTTTCAGTTGTCTACCTTTAAAAAAAGTTTCCAAACTCTTTCTGGTTAGTTAATCGACAAACTAATCTATATTTTGGTCTTTATGGGGATTATTACTTTTGCTTTCCTCTGTGTATGTCTCCTTGATTTTTGTACAAAAAAAACTTATGTTTTAAAACCAAAAAACTTTAGTAATAACTAAATAAACAAAAGCTGTTTTAGAAATAATTTAGGTTAACCTACTTAATGTATGTGCAAGAAATTAATCATCAAAGATCATTGAGAGCCTATATATGACAATGGAACAAAATAATATGTTTACTGGAGGGAAAAAAAGTGACTTTGAAAAATGTTTTGAGTGCTTTATTCTGCTTTCAACAGAAAAGATTTCTTCAGGATTGCAAAAAAGTTGTGAGATAGCTAAACTTAACTAAACCTACAAAAATAAACTTTAGGAATCTTCCCAGAAAACCAAATAAATATTTCCTAAAACCCATGATTTGGTATTTACTACATAAAATGAAATTTTGTTGTTTTTCTACATTTAAAACAAGTGCCATTTAATAAAAGAGGCAGCAGGTAGCTTTAAAGTTTGAGGTTCTGGGTTTAAATCCTGCCTCTTGATTTTATTTTTATTTTTTTATTTTATTTATTTTTTTTACTGTGTTACCTTAGGCAAGTCATTTAACTCTTCTGGGCCTTCATTTAATCATCTCTAAAATGAAGATGTTAAACTAAATGGTCACTCAGGTCCCTTCCATTCTAGATCCATGGTCCTATAACTAATCTCGAAGGCCTGAACATTATAGGTAAATGATTAGGCATAGGATAGGGAAATAATAAAGGATCAGATTGTTTTGTAAATTCCTAAAATTGCTACAATTTCTTGCATAGTTTAGGGTGCTCTTTATATTTGTCTTGTTGTCTGTTTCATAATTTGTAATTTTTATTACAAACTGTACAATTGTCTAGTCAAGGGGTGGGGAACTTGCAGCCTTGAGGCCACATGTGGACCATCTAGGTCCTCAAGTGCAGTCCTTTGACTGAATCCAAACCTCACAGAACAAATCCAGGTTCCCCACCCTGGAGTCCATGAGTAATACCTCAGAAGAAGAACTTACTACTTAAAATCACTTGAAATTCAGAATTAAGATGGTATTAATAATGTTAATATTCACTAAATTTGTAATTTTACTTTCCCATTTCAGATTTCCAAATGCTGGAAAATCCTCTTTACTAAGTAAAGTTTCCCACGCAAAACCTGAGATTGCAGATTATGCATGTAGGTAGTATGTTTTCTTGTTTTTCTACTATGTTTGAGTTTAAATTTAAGATAAGCGAAAGGTCTGTGGGCCCAGTGAGTAAGGTACTGTCATTGTTGCTATGGTAGTATCATTTCTCTGAGGCGACTTTCCTGTATTTAGTTGACAAAATGCCAGTGATTGGTTTTGACCATCTAGCCTCAGAGAAAATAAATTAGCTCAGCCCTGGCAGAAAAATAGAGCTAGATAAGAGTCTTCATCTCTCTCCAAGTTGCCTGTCTCAAATCTCCTCTTAACTTGGTCAGGGAAGTAATCCACAAAGAGAACTAAGAAGATGGTGGAATGCAAGAATAATCACAGAAAAAGAGTTAATGGAAAAGAAGCTATTGGAGGAGTTGGTGGAGCACAGGAAAAAGCAAAGAAATCGTATGGAAGAAATGACTGAAGGGGGATGTAGCAATCTCCCAGAAAATTATGTAGAAGGGACAGAATTCTCTGCAGCCCAATCGATTTAGACTTTTTTAAAATAGTAATTAGACGTTGTATGTTAGCTTAAGTGTCATGGTTTCTTCTAATAGCCAGATATTTTGGTGCAGATTACTGCTGTCATTTGGGGACTGCTTCCTATCAAGATATGTTGGAAAAATTAATTTTTTTTTCAATATCAAGTTAAAAGTTAGGGCACTGAATGGTTAGGAGGTAGATAGCAGTGAATTATTGGACAGTACAGGAGAAGAGTTGGTTTTTCCAGTAGCAGTGTATGGCTGTGAGAGGTGGATTGTAAGGAAAGCTGAGTGCTGCAAATTCAACACTTTCAATTTGTGGTGCTGGAGAAGACTTTTGAGAGTCCTTTGGACAGCAGAGATTAAATCACTCATTACTTAAAAGAAATTAATTCAGACTTTACTGGAAGGCCAGATACTAAAGCTGAAGCTTAAATATTCTGGCCACATAGTGAGAAGATGGGACTCATTGAAAAAGACCCTGATGCTGGGAAAGATTGAAGGCAAAAGGAGAAGGGGGCAGTCGAGGATGAGAAGGATAGATAGTATCATGGAAATAACAAACATGAAGTTGGACAGACTTTAAGAGATAGTGTACGATAGAAGGACCAGACGTGCTGTGATCCCTGGGGGTCTCGAAGTGTCAGGCACAGCTGAATGACTGAACACACAGAGGAGGGGAGAGTAAAAAGGAGTAAAGTCGAGTCAGATCTTGAGTCTATGAGAAGATTCCAAAGGATTGTCTGAATTCTTTGGTTGAGCTCTATTTTTACTGTATCAAATATAGCCTGATAGAAATGCTTTGGAGTTTGGAGATCTTTTGTACTCTACCAAAATTTTTGTTTTTAGTGGGACTTGCCATGTACAGTGATAGTGAGATGAGAGAATGGAGATGATGTAGTCATAATTTACAGGATGGAAGCAAAATTCGAGCCCCCACAACAGTTGAACTGTTACACAAAAAGAGAATGACCAAGGTGAAACTTTAGGAATGCAGAAGAACCCCTGGGAATAAGAAAAAATATAAATTGGATTTTGTTATTCTTAACATATATTTGTTTTTAGTTTTTAAATGAAATTGAGACTTGTGACTGTGCTGTTAAAAATGCTGCTGAAGGTTCTTAGCTAGTCGGTATATAAATGGAATCATAAAGGAGACTAATGTTGCAAGTATATAGAATTTACATCTTAGAGTCAAGAGTTATCCTGTAAGAAAATTCCAGATGCCCAATTTAGATTTTACAAAAGGGAGTCTTTCAACTTACTCTACCTATTGTGTTTCATTTGTCTTTGTCTCAAATGTTCATCACATAGTAATTAATAAGAGTTTGCCTTTGGTCAGTTTACAAAGCTCTATGCTTATGGCCCCATGATGTATAGTGTAATAAAACCTTGTGAAATTAAAAACAAGTAAGATTTAAGCTGTTCATAGAAAATATTCTTTACTTTTATTCACAGACAAATGAAAGGAGAATTTTTAGAATTACAGCCTAAAATTCTTGTTATTAATTTACATTTACTTTTTCTCATTTAGTTACAACATTAAAACCTCAGTTGGGAAAGATTATGTATAAAGATTTCAAACAGGTGAGTATATATAGAAAGATAATTTGACTTAAATTTTCTAAATACTCTCTTTGGTTACAGATAGTTTCTTTGCTTAGGCATTTCCTCTACAAATACAGATCTGCAATTTGATAAATGGTGTTTGAGAGTCTCTACGACTGAAGAAGAAAAAAAAACCAAACAAACCCTAGAGGTAACCTGCCGTCTGAACTTTGCTAGGCTTGTCCTTCAGACATGCAGTCTGAACCTATAGTAGAAGCCTTTTCAGTTTAGTAGCAATTGTCAGAACCTAAAATACATATTTTTTAAATATATATATATTTTTTTTTTGAGAACTTATTGTGACATTTTCATTCCACATTAAGACATCAGAGTATGGTGGAGTTGACTATCTTCTCATATAATAAAATAATTTTATGAAGATCTCTATCAAAACAAAAAATCGTTTTTTAAAGGAAAAGAACAAATAAGTAAATTTTATATAAACAATAGAACTAATGTCCCACTTAGAGTATGGTGAATCCAAAAGTGGTTTGTACATATGTAAAAGAATCCATGATAAAGTAATATTTATTGTATAACTATAAATCCCATTTTCTTAACCCTGTCATTTTGTAACTTACTAATCTTTAAGCGTGTTTGTCTGTATCCGTGTTAGCATTTAGTTACTGGCCAGAGCCTGACTTCTTTCCTAACTGGTTCCTCTACTTAATTTGCCTCCTTGATCCTTTCCCTTTTCCCTCCTCTCCTCCCCCCTAAAAAAAGCCCACCAAGGAATTATTTTCTAGAACTTAATAAAAGAAAAAATTAAATTCTCAAGGGAAATAATAAAAACATAGGATTGAAGGATATCAGATTATATTATAAACAGTAATTATAAAACTATTTAGTATTAGTTAAAAAAATAGAGAAGTTATCCAACCAAATGAGCAAGGCACGCAAGATCCAAAAGCAATTAAACATGGTAGCCTCTTCCACAAGAACTGCTAGGAAAACCAGAAAATTGTTTGGTAGTAATTAGGCTTAGACTGACCATATACCATATAGCACAACAAGCTAGTTAAAAAGGTCACATCATAAAAATAACTAAAGGAGAGGGAAAGAGATACCTTGTACAGTTTTGGTTAGGGGCAGAATTCCTAATCAAATGAGATATAGAGAAATTTGTAAAAGAAAAATAGGCAATTTTGATAACATTAAATTAAAAAGCTTTTAGGGCGAGGGAAGACCTTTGATTTCATTGTTATAGGGAATTCCCAGATGAGAAAACTCCTAGTGTGAGTCAAAACCTTCTTTAGAATTTAGTCTTAGAGAGTTGCCCAGGTCTCTGAGAGGTGGCGTCTCTTGTCCTTCATCCTACAGCTCATATGTATTGAAGGCAGGCCTAGCACCCAGTTCCAATATGGGCGCCATGTTGTCTCATGAAATCATTGTAGCTGGAGTAAGGAAAGAACTTTTTAATGGGGCAAGGGCAGAGACCACAGCAACTATCTTAGTTAATGGTCTGATACCCAAGATATCTAAGGATATATTTATGTGTGTATTCACATATACACACATCTATACACAACCATTCTGTATAAAACTGTTATCCAGTAGATGTAGTCAAAGGATATAAACAGGAAGTTCTCTAAAAGAGACAGTGTAGATTATCAACAGCTAGATGAAAGATTGCTCAGAAATCACTAAAGAATAATGAGATGCAAATTAAAACCGTTTTCTGGGTTTTTTCCCCACATCCATCAGACTGGCAAGTATGTGAAACAATGAAAATAATAAGTGTAGACCCAAACACTATTCATTTCTATCAACACAGTTGTTTTGCACAATTTTAAGAATACCAGAGTAAAGAGAATCCTCAAGAGCACATCTGATCCAGCTTCTTCTCTTTATTTCTGCCTAACTGTAAAAAGCTAAGGAGAGTGGCAGGCAGTATAGCATAGTGCAGAAAACATTGGATTTGGAGTCAGTACTTGGGTATTAATCATGCCTCTGCCACTTAACTAACTTAACTCTTTAGGATTCTGTTTTCTCATTTGTAAAATGAGGGGATTTAGACTGGATGGCTTCTTGAGATCCCATCCAGCTTTAAATCCTTTGTGACTGTCCCCTGGGTGTGCACTTGGAAGAGTCATGGTTATCATTCCAGACACTTAAAAAATATTATAAGCATACTGATTACTGTCTTCCTTCTTTTGTAGTATGGTGAAAAGTAGGGCCCACTAAGTAATAACAAATCAAGTGACAGTTTAGCTCAATAATACTGTAGAATTCTATCTAGTAAATAAGTCTGTTAAAATGAATATATTTTTATTCCTATCAAAGAATACAGATTTCCAAGGTTTAAATTCCATGAGTGTTTTAAAGTTGTTATACAATAGAATTTATGACAATAGAATTATATGTGAAGTTAATACATTTTTAAACTATATGCCTGAAATTTTTAGATTAATAAATCCTGGCAAGTGGAATTAGAGGTCTATTTTCAGATTGTAGCAAAATATTGTGATCCTTTATTAACTCAGATTGCTATAAAATTAACTTGACTTTCTTGAAGCACATATGTAAAAATCACCAGGTAATCAATTGATGATTCATAAAAGTAACAAATTTGGGATTGTTGACTTTTCCTCTTATATGTATTTTTTGTGCTCTTTAAAATTTGTGATTCCCAATATCTTTAAATATATTTCCCTTTTTTCTTGAAAATTATCTATATTTTTGTTAGGTATCTGTAGCTGATCTTCCAGGTTTAATAGAAGGAGCACATATGAACAAAGGAATGGGACATAAATTCCTCAAGCATATAGAAAGAACCAAACAGCTTCTTTTTGTTGTAAGTAGGTTATTGTTATTGTTGTTGTTGTTCAATTTTCATGACCCCATAGACCCTACTATCCATGGGATTTTCTTGGCAAGTTGTTTGCCATTTTTTTCTGCAGTGGATTAAGGCAAACAGAGATTAAGTGACTTGCCCAGGGTCCTACAACTAGTTAGTATCTGAGGCTGGATGTAAAGTAAGGTCTTCCCAACTCCAGGTCCAACACTGAACCACCTAGTTGCTCTTATAAGTGGATGCCTAAGTTTAACTGATCAAACAAACTTAGTGGTCAGATAATGTCTATCAAAAATATTAAATATCATGAAACTAGTTTTCATAGAAGTTGCATCATGAGAGTTAGAAAGCACTAGATTGGAAGTTGATAATCACTCTCTTTACCAACTCTAGATGACTTCTCATTTTCGTTTTGCTAAACTATTGAAGCTTTAAAAGGGCAATGTTGACATTTACTAAGTCAGATGTTACTTTGAGGTTTGCTTGGATATAATTCATTAAGATCTTCAACCCATTCTGTTACTTTGAGTATTGTTTTTACTTCACCACAGAACACCAGAGTTCTTCAGATAGCATATCTACAGTTTTAAATGTTATTGCATTCCTTTTTTTAGGTTGATGTCTCTGGGTTTCAGCTTTCTTCAAAAACTAAATTCAGATCTGCCTTTGAAACTGTAATATTGCTTACAAAGGTAAGCTTGCTGCCCTCTATAAATTCCGAAAAGAAGTATTATTAAAAAATTTTTAAAGTAGAATTTATTGTGTTTGGACTAGTTAGAGTTTTAAGTATTTAGTTATGAAAGACTAATTGAAATCGGGTTGTAATGTGTGTGTGCTACACTAACAGTTCCTACTTATGTAGTAATTGTACATAATTGGGGCCCCAAAAGTAGTTATAGAGGAATATAAAATATAAATAACTTCTAAGAGGAGACCCTATTTTGAATGTAGTGATATTGGTTAAATGCCCCAGGGCATTTATGGTCTTGTTGGAAATACCTCTTTGAAACTGAAAATGTGGTGAACTAAGATAAATAAGATGAGAGGCACTATGGAGTAGTGGATAAATAACATGCTGGACTTGGAGTCAGACAAACTCTTGATACTACATTAGTTTTGTTCCTTAACTTCTCAGAGCCTCCCTGCCTTCATCCCTAAAATGAGAGTAATAGGAGCACCTACTTCACAGGATCAAATAAAATAACCTGGCTAAAGTGCTTGATAAATCCCAAAGTGAATATGTGTGGGGAAACTGGTGGAGGTGAAATCACTCTATCAAGGTCACCCAGTGACCACGGGAGCAAGGTGGAGGCTCGTGTTCAAGTCCTCTTAGCCCCAGTCTCATATTCTATTCACCGTGCTACACTAATGTTATTCATGTTGACTTCAGTTTCTGATACAGTTCAGTGGTCATTTATTTAACCAGTCATGTCAGTAAGAAGATATTAATGCAAAAAGCAAATGGATTATTTAGCTAGAATGTTTTGTAGAAATAATTTCTTACTTTATTATTGTAAAGGAGCTGGAGCTATACAAAGAAGACCTTATGATGAAACCTTCACTACTTGCAGTTAATAAAATGGATTTACCAGATGCTGAAGATAAATTCAGTGAACTTGTGAACCAACTACGTAATCCTAAAGGTAAATAAGTCAGTTTTTTATTCATTGTGCATTGAGTGCCACATACATGCTTTAAGAGACAAAACAGAAATATAATAAGATAGACTGTCCTCAAAGAACTTAGTCTACTGAGGAGTTAAGATTTATCCACATGAAACATTTAAATTACAGAATAAGGCAGTATATAACTAAATAGTGAAATGAATGACAGGGAAGAGTGTTGACTTTGGGCTGAAAAGCTGACCTCGGGAGAGAGCTGATTCATCCAGGTGTATGAGAGCACCCTGAGTTTATAAGGGTTGCCACGGGCTAAGATATAGCACAGTGGATTGTTGTTGTTTGTCCTTCATTCTTGAAGAGACTATGACATCAGGGAGGTGATGCCTTGACTTCAAATGAATTGGATTTAAGTGAGGTAGGGCTGTGCCATGTCACCACCCTCACTTTCTCCTCTGGTGCCATCTGAGTCCAGTGGCCAGATATAAATGAGGGCTACTGTAGATGGCCCTGGATGTAGTGGGAGACTTTGGCCTTTTTAAGCTAAGGTCTTTAACGGGTCTCAATTTGACTGAGGCAACACTCAATCAGTGATTAAGGCTTGGCCAGAAATGAGACAGAGAATGGACTCTTTTACTAGTCCCCCCCAAAAAAAATCTGGGAGGAGAAGACCCTCAGGGTTTCTGGCCAAAACAGAAACAATTGCTATTTACTTTTACTCTGAGCCAATCTGGGCCCAAACAAGTGGGGGCTTGGTCCGAGACCTGTTGTTGGCCAGTCAGTGACAGCCAGAGTGATTTGGGTTTAAGGCTTGGTCCTTAAGAAAGAAACCCCACGGATACCTTTCAAGGTTTCTGTGATCAAAATTTACGTTCCTTTGAGCTGAGCACTCACAGGCAATGGTTTGATAACTCTACATGGAATAAGGGAAGGGAAAGAAAGAAAGAGAGACAGGAAGAAAGAAGGAAGGAAGGTTGGTTGGTAGCTGCTACTTAAAAATTCAAGACAGGCCAGACGCTTCTAAGTGTTCTCCTTAAATTAGAAAAGATTGAGAGACCATCTCATATCATGCAGGTAGTAAGTAGCAGAGTCAGGTTTTTCGGCTCTCTGACTCCAAATCCTTTCTCTATTTTCACAATACCAGACTTCCTTTCTCTAGAAAATCCCCCTTCTTGTGTCTTCTTTGCTAGAGCAGGAACCTTTAGAATACTGTGCATGATTTCAGTGGATCAGAGGTCCTCCCTTGATCAGTATAGTTAGAGCCTATTTTCTTTTGCTGTGCAGATCTTCATGTTTCTCCATAAATTTTCTCTAGCACGATATGCTTAATGGGTTGGAAGCTCCTCTTCTAGGTCTTTATATGGTTCCTGTTACCTATACCAGAGCAGCATTGAGTCTGTGTACTTGTTCTCCCTCATTAAAATGGCTATCCCAGATATTCTTCTGATCATACATTTCTTAGATGTTAATGCCACTTCTTGTTTGTAACTCTTCACTAAAAATATGCTATACCTTACTTGCCCCACCTGGTGTTCTTCCATTGTATTTAGGATCCCCTTTGATTTTGATTCATTAGAGATTGTAGATTGTGATATTCCAGGATTCACAACCACACAGCATTGTGTTTGAGATGGTTTTTTGTGTCAGAGAGCAGGACAAACTTACCACTCACAAATACCACCACAAATAATAAGTCAGAATGCCTCAGATTATAAATTAATTGCTTCTTTTGAAAAGAAATTTTGTATTGGAAACTGCATTTAATTAAAATGGGGTCAGTGAAATCTTTCCATTACTGTTAGGCAAGTAGAAACTAGCTACATAGAAGTCCTCTGTGTGTATTAAGAGGATTTAAAATGTTTGGTTTTGTAATTGAATATTCATAAATCAATATATCAGGATAATGCTGATATATTTTATGTAGAACAGTGAAAACAATTAAACTCTATGTTCATTTCAGATTTTTCACATCTCTTTGAAAAAGATGAAATTCCAGGGAAAACTATGGAGTTCCAACATATCATCCCAATATCTGCACAGACAGGAGAAGGAATTGAAGAATTAAAGAACTGCCTAAGACTATCCATAGATGAACAATCGGATCAGGAAAATGAAAAGTTCTCTGAAAAACAGTTGCTAAATATACAGAATTCAAAATTATCACATGTTGATCCCTCATCGAAATACGCTAGAATGGAAATAACTGAATGTCATTAAAATGTTATTCCTGCTATTAATTAAATTAGATGACCTCAAAGATTCCTTCCTGCTCAATATGTGATCCTATGATATTGGTTGTTTTTATGGATGTACATGAAAGTATCTTTCCAATTCTTTTGTCCTTTTCCCTTGTCATCTTTAAGAACCTTGCTTTTTATAGGGAGATGGAGAGAAGTCAGCAGTTTGGAGTGACAAGAAATCAATTAAGCATTTACTTCCTAAGGTATTCAAGAAATGAGACATGTAATGAAATACCTGGCCAGTCAGAAAGTTAAAGTACCTGTTACATGCCACTGTTAGGCACTACTAATAAGGTCTAGAGGCTTAGGGGTGCTGGGACCCCGAGATCATGACACATGGGCCCTGTCTGAATGAATTCAACTCAAAACTTCTTTCAGCCAGAGAAAAAGTTTATTAGAGATAAAGAGGCCAGACTCTTAAGGAATCAGAATGCCCATAAGGACGAACGGGCATGAGAAAGTCTCAGCGTTTAAATAGGGGCCAGAGTGGATCTTATATACACTCAAGTAATTTTGGGTGACCAGAGGAGGGGCTGGGAAAAGGGTCTAGGTGACTTTGGGAGAATTCCAATTGGAAAGTCTGAGAGATTGAATAGACAGTGGGAATAGATAATGAAGGGTACTGGAAGGAAGAAGTTTGAAAGGCATCTGAATAAGATCAAAAGTTGGGGCTAGGGCTTTCAAAGGGAGATTAAGTAGAGTTCATAAGGAACTGTTTGAGACTAGAGTGAGATCTAGAAAAGTTTAAGGGTTTTCTGGGGCCCATAGACAAAAGGGAGCCAGATTCTTTTTGGGGCAAGGGGTGAAGGTCTCTGCTTGGGCCCATACCCCATCACTACCAATGTCTTTTCAGATTGTAAAAATATATTTAAAATATTTTTAATAAAGAGTGTTCTTAGTGTTTTTAATATATTAGAGTCTAGTTAAGAACTAAAACAGTTCTTAACCTGGGGTCCGTGAACTCAGTTTTTAAATATTTTATTAACTGTATTTCAGTACAATTTATTTCCTTTGTTCTGTGTATTTTATTCTATTTAAAAACACTATTCTGAGAAAGGCTGTATAGGCTTTACCAGATTGCCAAGGGGGTTCCATGACACAAGGGTTAAGAAATTCAGCTCTGGAGTGGTATGTAGTCATTGTGCACTCCATAGTTGGGTGTTGATGTTCCTTATCTTTGACAACTTTTATACATCTGAAATTGGACCTTTAAAATCATGATTGCTAAAATTTTCGCTTTTTTTTTTTTTTTTTTTTTTTGGTGAGGCAATTGTGGTTAAGTGACTTGCCCAGAGTCACCAGATCAAGTAGATAAGAATATCCTAAAACTTTTTTTCTTGATTAAATAGAATTGGGATAGAGATTATGCCTGGGATTTCAGTACTAGAGGGAATTCAACTTGTTGAGAAAATTCCTTCTCTTAATGTAAATCACTGTCTGATCTACAACTGTAGTCTTAGAGAGGTATCTGACTCTTAGCTGTGGGCCAGGGCATGGGGCTGAGCCAGATTACAGTGTAATTAGGGTGTTGAACAAAATAAATAGAAATATAATAACCTCATATTAAATAACAAGTATGTCAATTTTCTAAATAGGTGTCCAGCGGGAATAGATCTCTTTTCTTTTGAGTCTGACTGCACTAACCAAAGGCAGTGAGAGGTTAAATGACCTTAGGGTAATTAAAATCAGTATGTCTCAGAGGCAAGACTGGAATCTGTTTCTTCCTAGCTCAGGCTGATGGGGTTGGGATCTGGGACCCAGAAAGGGAAAACCCTGGACTTTCCCACGTGGCCAAAACTCTGGCATTTGCTTGAGGCTATAATCCCATCAACTGGCCTTTCATTGTGGCTACACCCAATCTCCCCTCCATTGTCTTACTTCCCGATGGCCCCTGGCCATTTCCCACACTTAATCCTAGCTGGGCTCCATTGTCCAGGTCCCAGGAATTCTGTTCACCCCAGTTTATTGACCACTACCATCCAGATCTCCTTAGGTCCCTCCTCCTGTCACTCCAAACTATTTGGCCATGCCTAGATCCCTCCCACAGGCTTTCTGTATATAAGGTCCATCTTGTCTCCATGAAGATGCTGGGATTCTTATAATCTAGCCAATAAGCCAATAGTTTACTAATGTTTAGACTCCTTAAGAGTCTGCCCAATATGATGGATGTTCTAATAAACCTTGTCTTTGGCTGAAAGAAGCCTTGGGTCAAATTCTTTTGGGCAGGACCCGTGTGTTGTGATTTTGGGGTCCCAGGGCCCCTGGGCTCCTGAACCCCTAATTCACATCAAGACTATCTCGCCTCTCAAAACATTTTAGTTTTAGGAATATGTTTGTTTAATGGCAGTATTACTTTTTGTCGCGAAGGAAATTTATGTGTATTCAGTGGTGTTGAGTTGTTTCAGTCGTGTCTGATTCTCCATGATTCCATTTGGGGTTTTCTTGGCAAAAACACTGAAGTGGTTTGTATATTTAGACCATATATGTACCAATTTCTTGGGTGGGGCTTAGCCCGCATCAGAGATGTTAACTAATTCTATAAAGAATTAGCTTTTAACTGGTTTGTTCAGAACACTGATGTACTGTTGTCACCTTTTCCATATTTCTACTTAAATGTTTGAAATCATTTTTCAAGGCTACTTTATGAATGAATGAATGAAAAAACATTTATTAGTGCTTACTTTGTACAAAGCACTGTACTAAATGCTGGGGATACAAATAAGAAAAGCAAGAGAGTCCCTAATATTTAAATATAAAAATACAAACATGAAATCATATACTAGTAGAAGTAAAATATTCTAGAAATCAATTGTAAATGTACAAGTAGAAATAAACTTCAGGAACTAGGGGCTCCTGAAGGAGTAGAAAGTCTCTATAGATGGCATATATTGTGAAACTTCAATCAAGAGAATGCTGTTTACAGTAACAGCATAATTGTGAACAACCAAGTTGTTCTGAGTGCTATAAATACTCAGATCATCTGGAAAGGACCTGTGGAAGAAGATGCTAGCCACCTCCAAAGAAAGAACTGATAAATAGAAGTGTGCGTAGTACTTGTATTTCTAAATCTGTGACAAATGGTGGCCTTCTCCACTGCGGGGTGGGGAGGAAGAAAGGGACACAATTTGGAACTTAAAATGTAACAAAAAAATTAAAAAAGAAACTTAGAAGTTTATTTTATACTTGAACTTGATTTTTGAGAGTTTTCTACAACAACTGATTATATCATAATTCCACTTGGAAATCGAGCATTTGTTTATAGGTAACAGCTGGATGATTATAGATTTTTTTTTTTAGAGTTGGAAAGGACCTTAGAGGCCCCTGAGTCCAATCCTCTCATTTTATAGATGAGGAAAACAAGGCTCCTAATAGAGGTCAAGTAATTTATCCGTGGTCACACAGCTAGTGAATGTCTGAGGCAGGATTTGAACCTAGAGTTTTCTAACTCAAAGTCTTGCCCTGTCCATTAAAACCAATGGTGTCAAACTCAAATAGAAATGGAAGCCACTAATCCATACAGCAGCTAGGTGGCGCCATAGTTCACAGAGGTCCAGGCCTGGAGTCAGAAAGCTTTATCTTCCTGAATTCAAATGTGGTCTCAGGCACTTATTAGCTGTGTGACCCTGGGCAAGTCACTTAATCCTATTTGCCTCAGTTTCCTCATCTGTAAAATGAGCTGGAGAAGGAAATGGCAAACAACTCCAGTATCTTTGCCAGGAAACCCCAAATGGGGTCACAGAGAGTCAGACATGACTGAAAAATAACTCAACTGAATCCATACGTAAGGATCCGTGTGGTCACATATTGACTTAACTTTAAAATGTTACTTATATTGTATTTTTGTTCATTTTATATATTTCCCAATTACATTTTAATCTTGGTCAGGCCCCAGCTCCTGGGGCCTAGTGTTTGACATCTCTGCCTTAAACCACACTGCTTTGATGAGTTTAGACATGCCTGACACACTTTTTCTGCCCTGCTGCTGTTTTGTTAGGCCATGTCTTTGCCCCATTCCCTCACCATCCACTTCAGCCCTTTGACAATAACAGAATAGCAAACTCTGTTAGCAGTACGACTGAGGGATAATCCCTCTCATACTATATCTCTAACCTCATCTCCAATGTCAGGAAGATGAGGGCAAGTGATGGGAGGTGAAGAACAGAGCTAGAAAAATAAAAAAAACAACAGAGCTGGCTTTTCCCACTGTACCTTGGCCTGATTTTGTATATAAGTAGGGGGGGAAAGAGCTGATATCTTTATAACCCCCAGTGCCACCAGGATTGTTATGTGTGGAAGCAATTTGGTATATTGGAGGGAACACAGGATTTAGAATCAAATCTCAGCTCTACCGTGTACTTTCTGAATGAACTTGGGCAAAGTCATCTAACCTCTGAGCCTCAGTTTTTTCATCTGTTAAAGAAAAGGGTTGAACTACATGTTCTAAGACTATTATCTTTTTAAAATAAAATAGTATGAGGAAAATAGAGAAAAGAATGAGGATGGGGAAGAATGAAAGAAAAGTTTATAGGGTATGGAGTGGTAAGGGTCACCATCATCTCCTCTCAGGTAACAGGACAGGGGAAAAAATGTCACCAAAAAAAAGTAGAGGGCAAAAGGCTTTAATAAGTAGAGAACTTGAAAATGAGCAGGGCAGGGATTCTGTCCTTAATCTACCACATAATGCTGGGTACCCCAATTACTAGGTTTTCCTCGGCATTCAAAGTTTTCACAATGCTTTTAATATCTTACAGGACTCTTCAGATGAAGTTCTAAGTATTAATGCCACCATTGTAGACACAGATGGATGTGTATGTGATGGAAACAGCCCTTTGAAAGGCAGAGGCACTGGACTATACATCACTATTACTTGTGTCATGTTATTTGAAATACTTGGAATCTAAAGTAAGATAAGGGCGATGAACATTGTTTAATCAATATGTGGTAATAGCATTTATAGTCTTAAGATTTGCAAAGGGTTTTACAAGTATCTCATTTGCTCCTCACAAGAAGATAGGTATTAGGCCCATTTGACAGCTGAGGGAACTGAGCAGAGAGGTTAAATGATTTGCCCAGGTCACACAGCTCTTAAGTGTCTGAGGTCAAATTTGAACTCAGGTCTTACTGACTTCAGACCCAGTTGTCTAGATCCACCAAACCCCATGATTGCCTTGTGTTATTCACCAGCCCAAGAGCATTTGGGTTCAGGAGGAGTTTTAAAAAGTAAGAGTTTCTATTATGCAGGCTACTCTCTTCTGAAAAATTTCCCTCCACAATTGCTCATGTTTTCTGACCTGGTGCTTTGTTTGTTATTGGAATATTATGTAAAAACTTTTATACCAAAATCTTAAAAAACATTGACCTAGTTTTCCAGTGGCTAAAAAAAAGAATAATATAGAGCTCAAGACCTAGCTTTGCCTTTCCATCTACACAACCTACTTCCAAGCAGAAGACGTTTATTTAAGTATATGTGTTTTATTAAGGACAGAAACTGACCACGAAAGCTTATGAGAATGGATGGATTTGGGGCAGAGTGACAATGCAGACAAAACCTCTGGACAACTGAAATCTAATGGGATAATAAATCAAAGGACAATACAACAAATCAGCCTCCTAGTCTCTGAAAACAAATCTCTTTGCATGAACTGAGACCACTTGAGACCAGGAAAGGCTATAGGAGCTACTTGTTGGGCATGGTGTTTTTTGAAATGAAGGCAGAAAAGCTCATCTGCTTGAAAGTCCCCCAAGGTCTAGAAAGCCTCATTTTTGCTCTCTCAAAAGTCCATCCTTACAGATTTCTCTTTAAAAAGTGGAAATGATGTTTTTCCATGAAATGAGACCACTCGAGATCATGAGAGAATTGTGAAATTGGGTGACTAGAAGGATGGGTATGGCCTCAGCAGAAATAGGAAAATGAGGAAGGGGGCAGAGGAATAATGGACAGTTAGGGATCTTTGATTTTTCTAGTCACCTATTTACCGATGCAACATGGGGTAGAGGATAAAGTGGAGAAAGTACTTGAAATCTGGAAGAACTGGGTTCCAATCCTGCCGTAAGACACCAAATGTGTTGCCATGGGCCAGTTATTTACCATCTCTGTACCTCAGTTTCCTCATCTGCAAGATGAAGAGATTGGACTCAGTCATCACAATATTCAATATCAGAAAATTATTATGACTTTTTTCTTTTTTTATAAATTGTTTATTTTTTTTTTTAATTTTTAACGTGTTTTTAAAGCTTTGGGTTACAAATTTTCTCCCTTCCTCCCTCCCCACCCATCCTCATTGAAAAGGCAAGCATCTCGGTACAGGTTATAGATGTGTAGTCATGCAAAACATTTCCATAGTAGTCCTGTTGTGAAAAACTAAGTATATTTCCCTTCATCCTATCCTACCCCACATTTATTCTGCTCTCTCTTTTGGCCCTGTCCCTCCTCAGAAGTGTCTGCTTCTGATTATCTCCTCCCCCAATCTGCCCTCCCCTCTATCAACCCCTTGCTCTCTTGTCCCCTTCCCCCCTTATTTTCCTGTAGGGTAAGATAGATTTCCATACCCCATTGTGTATGTTATTCCCTCCTTAAGCCAAATCCTATGAGAATGAGATTCACTCATTCCCTCTCACCTTCCCCCATTTCCCCTCCACTGTAAAAGCCTTTTCTTGTCTGTTTCATGTGAGATATTTTACCTCATTCTACTTCTCCCTTTCTCCTTCCAGTATAATCCTCTCTCACCCCTTAATTTTATTTTCCAGATATCATCCCTTCATCTTCAACTCACCCTGTGCCCTCTATCTATCTATCTATACATACATACATACATACATACATAAAATTTTTTTCCCTCCCACTACCCTAATACTGACAAAGGACTCATGAGTTACAAATATCATCTTTCCCTGCAGGAATGTAAACAGTTCAACCTTAATAAGTCCCTTATGATTTTTCTTTCCTGTTTACCTCTTCCATGTTTCATTTTCTATTCAGCTCTGGTCTTTTCCACAGGAATGCTTGAAAGTCCATTGAATGACCATTTTTTCATTGAATGACCATTTTTTACCCTGAAGGATTATACTCAGTTTTGCTGGGTAGGTGATTCTAGGTTGTAGTCCTATCTTCTTTGCCCTCTAGAATATCATACTCCATGCTCTCTGGACCCTTAATGTAGAAGCTGCTAAATCTTGTGTTATCCTGATTGTGTTTCCACAGTACTTGAATTGTTTCCTTCTGGCTGCTTGCAATATTTTCTCCTTGACCTGGGAATTCTGGAATTTGGCTACAACATTCCTAGGAGTTTTCCTTTGGGGATCTTTCAGGAGGTGATCGGTGGATTCTTTCAATTTCTATTTTGCCCTCTGGTTCTAAAATATCAGGGCAGTTTTCCTTGATAATTTCTTGAAAGATGATGTCTAGGGTCTTTTTTTGATCATGGCTTTCAGATAGTCCAATAATTTTAAAGTTCTCTCTCCTGGATCTATTTTCCAAGTCAGTTGTTTTTCTTATGAGATATTTCAAACGCTCTTCTATTTTTTCATTCCTTTGGATTAGTGTTACAGTGCCTTGATTTCTCAAATTGTCCCTAGTTTCCAATTTCTCCATTCTAATTTTTAAGGAAATATTTTCTTCAGTAAGCTTTTGAACTTCCTTTTCCATTTGGCCAATTTTGTTTTTTTAGGGCATTCTCCTCATTGGCTTTTTGGACCTCTTTTGCCATTTGGGTTAGGCTATTTTTTAAGATGTTATTTTCTTCAGTCTTTTTTTTGGGTCTCCTTTAGCATCACTCTCAGTTTTTCCTCTACTTCTCTTACTTGCTTCTCAAAATCCTTTTTGAGCTCTTCCATTGCCTGGGACCAATTCATATTTTTCTTGGAGGCTTTAGATGTAGGAGCTTTGACTTTGTTGTCTTCTTCTTGTATGTTTTGATCTTCTTTGTCATCAAAGTAAGATAATATAGTCTGACTCTTTTTACGCTGCTTGCTCGTGATCTCAGCCAATTACTTGAGTTATAGACTCTTTGTTAAGGTAGGAGTCTGTTTCCAGTGTGGAGAATGTACTGTCCCAAGCTTCAGGGGTTTTGTGCAGCTATTTTCAGAGATACTTCTAGGGACCTGTGAATTTTCAGTTCTTCCAAGGTGCTATGATCAAGGGCAAAGTGTTTACTCCTTTCCTGGCCTGTGCTCTGTTCTATGAGCACTCTTTTCTGTCTTGGAACTGTGAGGAGTGTTTCCTCTCCACAGCCACTACAAGCTCCATCACGCCAGTGCTCCTCCTCGACACATACATGTCCATATA